GTGTGCATGCGTGTGGTGTGTGTGTGTGTGTGTGTGTGTGTGTGTGTGTGTGTGTGTCTGTGTCTGTGTCTGTGTCTGTGTCTGTGTCTGTGTCTGTGTGTGTGTGTGTCTGTGTCTGTGTCTGTGTGTCTGTGTGTGTGTGTGTGTGTGTGTGTGTGTGTGTGTGTGTGTGTGTGTGTGTGTGTGTGTGTGTCTGTGTCTGTGTCTGTGTGTGTGTTCCCACCAAAAACAGTATAACCATGTAATAACCCTATTGCATGTCATTTCTCTGAGTCACCCCGTCTCGTCCATGTCCTTCTGTGCTATAGAGCAGATCCAATCTTCACGTAGGGGGGATACTCTTGAACTTAGTCTTCTCCAAACAGAATGCAGGTGGATGTTCTATTTAAAAACTCTCCACCCATCAGGCATGAATGAAGAATTGGTATTGAAGTGTTTTCTGTAACTGGTATATTGCTTCTTATTGGTGTTCGATACCCCCATCTAGTGGTATCTCTATCCCCTAATCTATTACGATCCTGTGTTATTTATTCTGAGGAAATGTTCACATGGTCTATGTAAAAGTAATAATTGATGATATTCCTCTGTCCGCATTTGTAAATGTTGTATATAATCTAGATCATGCATTCTATTATATTAGGTACTGATTTATAGATTCATAGATGTAACATATGCAATTATCCTGGAAATAGAAGCCAGGTGTATGTGCCAACAACTTTACACTGAGGAGCCTGGGGCTGACACATTTACATTACATTTACATTTACATTTTAGTCATTTAGCAGACGCTCTTATCCAAAGCCAGGTGTATGTGCCAACAACTTTACACTGAGGAGCCTGGGGCTGACACGTTCTGGCACTATGATTCTTTGGGCGCCATGATGATAAAATAAACATCTTTATTTAACATTCAAGCCTCCATTTTGGATGTATTCCTTTTTCCGACAGTGTGCGGGTCTCCATCTCTTCCAGTATTCTTATTTTGACTCCTCCGTACCTGGAAAATACACTATTCAGTAGTAAAGAGCGCACACGGCCTCATCATTTATAACCGCGTAATAACCATATTTTAACCGTAGCATACTGTCTCTTGGGGAGAGACATTACTGGGAGACCGTTAGGGAATCCCCTGGGACCAGCAGCAGATTGAGAGAGCTGTCCTACAATGTCAGCTGTGACCGTTTAATAGTCTTAATAATTATTTACCATCAGCGTCATTGACGAGGAATTTAAGCATATGAGATGGATAAATAAAGGCAGACAAACACACACCTCAGAGTGACATGTCTTTCTCTTAGTTAGTCACAATGAATGAAGTCTAACCAGGCGTGACTTGCTTTGGCTATAGGGAGATAGATAATTCTGTTTTTCTAATTAACCAAGTGGGTAATAGAGCTCTCTCCTCGTCTCTTCTCGTTCTCTCTCCATGTCTCTCTCTCGCCCTCTCAATATCTCTCTCCCACCCTCTCTCTTTCTCTTACGTCCTCTATCAATTTCTAAAATGTTCCATCGCCCGTTTTCTGCCTTGGTATGCCTATAAGGTTAATATAATACACGATGAATCTAGAACTTGTCAAGTGAGTTGTGTTGTCCCTGTCTCACAGTAAGGGAATGTAAATTATATTCCAGTGTGGGGAGCTCAATTCTGGCCACATTTTGCCCATTTGAGTATCTAAAATGGAAAGTGCACCCGTAACAAACACATACCTGGCACCGCGAGCTTCCAGGCTGCAGTATCCCCTTCCGACGCATGAAAGACAAACCCGGAGAGGCTCGAGCGTACGGATGACAGCAATCTCTCGCTCTTTTCTCTTTCACTCTCTCCCTCCCCCCTCTCTCTCTCTCTCCCTCCCTCCCCCTCTCTTTCTAATTTCCTCTCTCTCGCTCTCTCTCTTCACCCATTTTGCGATAGCCTAATTGAGGGAAAGCGCCACGAGCCACTTTGAAAGACACTTGAAGCTCACCGGTAGGTTCAGTCACACACGACAGACATCAGTTCTGCACCTCCGAAGCTGAGTGACCTTTCTGAAATACATGTAGGTACCTGAATTTACCGCGCATTCTAAATCGGACATCTTTGAATGGGTCCATAGACGCTTTGTTTAATCTCAATGGATATCCAACTATTCAACGGATTCCGCTGTTATTGAAGGTAATTATAAGAATCTATTTTTTGGCTATTTTTTCTGATACTATTATTATTATTATTATTTTCGATAACTTTATAGAACACCTGCTAGGCTGCGCTCTTATTTTACAATTCCACTGGGAATTCGTATTAGCCTATGTTCGGTGCTTGCTTCTGAACCTGAATGTAGATTTTTTTTAGGGTCTTGATTAGGCTACTTTTCTTCAAGTAACCTACCCCATTGTGTATGCCAATAGGCTATACTTTTTGTTATTGTGGGAATTTACTTCTTGACTCTGACATGCGTTATTGCAACTTCATGGTTAGCCTATATTTTGCAAGGAACACTTTAGGCTATCCAAATAGCTTAGGTCTTTTTGAAACTTTTATAGGGATGAAACACGATTTTTTTGTCTGTGTCTTATAAATGTTCAGTGTTGGGGATGTTGGGGAGTAGTGAACTACATGTAGTGAATACACTTGAAACAGCCGTTTCGGAGTCTAAAAGGCTAAATTACACATTATGTTAACATCTGACTGTGATCTGTTCTTGCGATGTGTAATCATTTCAGATTTAGATAGGATCATACACTAAATCGTTTTTATTTCATAATCTAGTTTTGATTTACATTTGATTGATGTCAACTAATGTGAACTCAACGTGAAATTTAAACACATTTCACCATGTCCTTGGATTTCGATTAAAAATTGGGTGAAAACAATATGAAATTCCCTTATGTTGATGACTTTTTGCAAATCCAATCAGTTTTCCACGTTGATTCAACGTCATCAGATTGAAAAAAAAATGTTGAAATGACGTGGGAACAACGTTGATGCAACCAGTTTTTGCCCAGCGGGTTGGATGTAGTGAACTACTTTTTCAAAGTAACTTTAGTTAAGTAAACTATAGGCTTTTCTTAAGGGTAGTATTAGTGTAGCTTAACATCTTCCATTGTGAAGTAATTGGTAGCTTGCTAAACTAGCCTACTATATATTCAGAGTAGCTTCCCCAACTATGTAAACGTTTTAGGACAAGGCAGGGATTCTACACTCCTATTGACAGTAGTGAAAGAAATGGCCATCTCGCACTTGACCTTTAAACACTGTTTGAATAGGCTACCCCTCCTATCCAGCCTAATTATTAGAAACAACATCACTTCCGAAGTCAAGATCCCCAAAAATGATTTCCCCTAATTCAACGGCTTCACGTGACGTCATGAAAAAATATATGCCTAAAATCGGGAAACATTGAAGATGATTGCTTATATGGAGATGGTGGCGAGAATAATTTGAACAGCAAACACATGTAGAAAAGTTGATAAGCAGCCCATCACATCCACGGCGTTTCCATGGAGAGTTATTAAACCCCTAGGACAAAAACATGCCATGCATATAACAGTGGCACGGCAGAAAATAATAAATAAATGTATGCGCAATTGTCACATTTAATACCTACCGGAGCGTAGTGGTGAATTCATTATTACACCATACTGCTCGCGCGCGCGTGTGTTTCATCGCGATTTGAAATTTAAGAAGGTTAAAAAGAAATCAACAATTATTTTGGGGGGCAGATAAATATCCATCAAATCATGCAGTGTGCCTCTGGTAACATGAAATTATTTTGTAGTCTACAAACTAAACCAACTCTGTAAGAGTGGAGACATTCAGGTCTCATAATAAAAATGGATACACTCCATCCACATGCTCACACAGTTAGGCAACATTTGGTTTCCATATTAGTATTAGTAAATTATAAATGTGTAATATTAGCATAATGTTGCCCAGAGAAACTGCCCACTGGGTACAGACGTAAATTCAACGTCTATTCCACGTTGGTTCAACTTAATTTAATTGAAATGACGTGGAAACAACATTGATGTGTGTGCCCTGTGGGTAGATGGCCGGTAGATCCATGCAGTGTGTTTGTGTGTGATGAGAGATAGAGAGAGAGATAGACAGAGAGCGCGTGCGCGCATGTTTGTCTGCCAATAGTCTACTGCAGAAGTGCGAGCTGCTTCATACAGTTGAGACTGGCTGATGACTGCATTGACTAGTCTACAACTGAACTCACCGTGTATTGTTCGCTTCACCAGTTTCTCAACGGAATCCTTGTAGCATACCAGCTGGTCTGTATCCAGTTCCGTGAACAGGCTCTGTCACGGTGGATTGCTTTGACTAAAATTCCGGTTAGACAACCGATAAAGTCGTTGTATTCCGTTGCTGGTTGTAGAGGTCGAAAGCGCGCAACCATGCAAGACACGACGGGGTATGTTGCTACGCAGTTGATAAATATGATATAGACACAATAGACCGACAAATAGTGTAAAGGAGAAAGAGAGATGAGGTGATGTTCTGACACACTGAGACAACGTGGACAGAAATCAAGACGAGGAACTCTATTCTTGTACTACTACAGGCACGGAACCAGCAGCCATTGGATGTCAGGTCTGTCTGACTTCGATTGAAAATGCACATGTTTCTGTGGATATACCAGTAAGGCTACCTGAGATAAATGCGATGGAGATTGGGGAGTTTATTTGTGTTGATATTCACAATTCGTCAATCTCCAATCATGGACGACGTGCAAATATGACAACTGACACAACGTCTGCCTCTAAAACTTTCCCAAGTCAGTGACGGGACGATTTGTAGCGCGCGTCTTTTGTGGAATGAATAGTGCGTCAAGGCGATCGGGGTCTATCGTCTTCATATAGACACTGTCCAAGATCCAACTGCAAACGTTCCCAAATGAACTCAAGTACTCTCTCTCTCTCTCTCTCTCTCTCTCTCTCTCTCTCCTCTCTCTCTCTCTCTCTCTCTCTCTCTCTCTCTGGTGTTTGTGAGCTGCATCATTAGTGTGGGGATCATTCAGTCCCACATGTGATGGACCCCCAGCAGTTTGATGGAGGCCATGTGTTAGAGGGCTGTAACACACCCGGTAACAGGGACCACCGGCCCCCTCCTGCCAAACTGGTCCGCTTGGAGTTGAACGGTGGCGGGGGCCCCCCAGGGACACACCAGGGCAGGACGAGACAGGGGAGCCCAGGGGTCAGAGCCCTTACTTCGGCCCCCAAACCCACCACACCCACACCACAACCCAAGAACTGGCATAAAAGAGGTAAGACTGAAAAAGAAAAGGGGCGGGGCAAGAGGGAGGAATGGGTGAATAGAGGAGTGAGATGGGTGCCCAGATAGACTCTGCGCATAGTAGGGTTGTGAAGCAAGGGGAATTTTCCAGGTAACTTTCCAAATGTACCAGTAAACTACCAAAATTTTTGAAAATGTCAAGAATTGCATGGTGCTTTACCTTTTCATTTCCCATGTCCCCTGCTTCTATCTGTATGCTGTGATGTGATTGGCTGTGCTGTGTGTCCGTCATCCCAGGGAGCCTGCTGCCTGTGCTGTGTTTGGTGGAGCACAGAGAGAGCCCGGTCCCGGCAGTGGAGGCTGAGAGGAGAGAGGAGCATGCAGAGTTTGTACTGGTCAGGAGAGACATGCTGTTTAACCAGCTGATAGAGATGGTTCTACTGGCCCTGGGCTACTCTCACAGCTCAGCAGCACAGGCGAAAGGTACACACATATGCACAGCTCACACACCAACACACACACATACACATAAATCATGCTCTCACACACATACACTCTCTCTCTCTCTCTCTCTCGTCTCGCTCTCGCCTCTCTCTCTCTCTCTCTCCTCTCTCTCTCTCTCGTCTCATCTCTCTCTCTCTCTCCTCTCTCTCTCTCTCTCTCCCACTCTCATCTCTCTCTCTCTCTCTCTCTCTGCTCTATTACCCACACACACATACACACACGCCTTCTCTTCCTCCAGTGTCAGTGTTTGTAACACAGTGTGTGCGCATGCGTGCCTGTGCCTGTGTGTGTACCTATAGGTTCGATCCAGGTGGGTAGGTGGAACCCTGTCCCTCTGTCCTGTGTGACTGATGCTCCTGATGCCACTGTGGCTGACATGCTGCAGGACCTCTACCATGTCACCACCATCAAGATCCAGCTCACCAGGTACACCATCATCTCTCGTGGACAGACATACGTAACATAAATGGTATCTTAACGTCTGTCAACAGACTATGGGATCGACGGCTAACGAGGAACATTGTTCCGGTGCGCTGGTTTTGTGTCACTGGTAATTTGGATGAATCACAATTTGGCAGCGCGCTGCATCTTTAGAATTTCTGAAGGGGAGGGCACATGTGGCCCATATACTTCCATGAGACATGCGGAGAGAGGGGAGGTGGAGCTACCAAAGTGGTTCTGGAATTTGCACTAGTTTCGTATGTCATACCTCTCCCCCCATAACCTAATCAAGTAGTTTACATGAGATTCTTGTTTCTGGGTTGCCGAGATTAGGTAAACCAGGCCACAGCTTCTGATGCTACATCTGTCAACCTGCTTTCAGTGGGGGTGTGTAGTGTCAGGAAATGGTTTGCGTGAAAATCTGCTTGGCTGCATTCGTGGTTTATGAAATAATAATAATAATAATACTAATAATTCACCATTCTGGAAACACAGCAGATGTGTTGTGTGAAGTAATTAACTAATAACTACCACCAGGTGAGGCAGGCAGGCACACACACACACACACGCACACACACACAGGCACATAGGAACACAATCGCACATACACACATAGTGACACACACACACAGAAACACACAGTCAGCCAAAGTCTAAATCTGCCACTCCACAGAGGAGGGCCCCCACAATTTCAGACAGCATTTTTATTCATTTGTCAACTAGGCGCGGCCACCCGCGGAGCGAAGCACGCCCGCAGCGCGAGCGCGAGGGCACCCACGCACGAGCGGGCCCCCGAGCGCCCCAGAAACCCGCAGCACTAAAGCGACGAGACCGACCGAGCGCAACCACCCCGCGGGCCCACAAAGCCCCCAGCGAACCGCACGGAGCGCGCCCCGCGAGGACCGAGACACCACCCGCCCGCGGGCACCAATCGCACCAGCGAAGCGAAAAGCGCCAACGACGAACAAAAAACCCACCGGTCAAAATAGCAAGCACCAAGCGAAACCATCAGAAGACAGAGCTAGACGACGTCAAGAGCAACCGCACCAAAATCCGTATCTCCCCCAAGAAACAATATCAGACCGCAACACCGCTCCCACCGACCCACCAACCTCTTTCACGAAACTCGCACATCATGAGATCACTGCTATTCCTAGACCGAGCTCTCTCGTCAACATGATCTCCGTTCTCGCGATCTCTCTCGAGCTCCTCTCGTATCTCTCTCTCTCTTCTCTCTCTCTCTCTCTCTCTCTCGCTCCTTTCCTCTCTCTCTGCATGTTCCCCCCTCTCCCCCCCCCCACTCTCTAGTTGTCCCAGGTTGGAGGACCTACCTCCAGAACAGTGGAGTCACTCCACAGTGAGAAACGCCCTGAAGGAGCTATTGAGAGACATGAACCAGAGCTCACTGGCCAAAGAGTGCCCTCTGTCCCAGGTACAACCAGTGATTTATATATACACTAGATGACTGATGGGGTGCGCTGTGTTGAAGCCACAGCATAGCCATCTTGGCACTCCCCCACCATTGTAAAACATATTTTGGAAGCTATAGAAATGCATTTATTAATGTCTACATTCATTATGCCACGTTTATTCTATTACAGACACGTTAATGCATACTTTTAAATTAGATTATGTGAGCTAAACATAATTATAAAAAAATGAAAAAATATTAAAAACATTTTCCTTAAAGTAGTAGAGATTACTAATGTTACTGTCCCCAATCTAACAAAAAAATACTTCATTTTGTCCTTGAAACATTTAATTGAAATACTGTAGAATTCCATTCATTCCTATGGAGGACTGCTCCTACTGGGGAGACTTCAAAGGCTCTCAATTACCAATACATAGCACCAGCAATCCAGGGTTTATATACATCATTGGGTACAACACACACACACACACACAGGCCTAAACACGTACATACACACACTCACGTACGCACAAACACGTACACAGACACACAAACAGGCATAAACTAGTGCACGGATTGCTGAGACAAATAAGGTCTGGGGCAGAGAGAGAGAGAGAGATACTGTATAAGGGATGTTTATCTTTTAAAGAGCCATGCTGCATCCTGTTACCTACAGCTCTGCTGACTTATACTGTACCTCTGTACCCTTCTGCTACTGTCTGTCTCTTCCTAGTCAATCTCTGTCTTTCTCTTTCTTTCTGTGTGTGTATCTCATACTTGTTGCATGCCCAGCCTTTAGCTCAGTGGGCTAAAACAGTCTTGTAACATGCAGGCAGGTGACCCAAGTTTGAACCCAGTCGGCCACACATGCACAGCATCTCACTCACACACTGAATTGCTTTACACACACACACACACACACACACACACACACACACACACACACACACACACACACACGTGTTACTGTGATGGAACACAGCGTAGAGGCACCTGCTGTTGGAGAACAGATGGATGTGTCTTGTGAATATTTAAAACAATCAAAATAGTCTGTCTGTTACTCACCCTGAGGGCAGCAACTACAGCCTCAGTCTAATAAACAGACATTTCTGTTTTCATATTCTCTCTCTCTCTCTTTATGTTTATGTCTGTTCCCACTCCCCTCTTTCTAGCTCATTCTCTCCCTCCAAATGTCTCTCTCTCTCTTTCTCTCTCTCTCTCTGACTCTGTCCACCCCCCGCCCTCTCTCTTTCAATTCAATGGGCTTTATTGGCATGGGAAACATATGTTTACATTGCCAAAGCAAGTGAAATAGATAATAAACAAAAGTTTCTGTCTCTTCAGTTATTGGGAGCAGATTAGAATAAATCTGAAGAGATGAAAGGTGTAATCAAATGTGAAGACGACACAGGATTGTCTCGAGGGATTCTTTTTAGCTTCCATTTCTTAAATGACAGATGGCACCTAGATGAGGCTGCACACTCAAACACACACACACACACACACACACTCATCTGTCTTTATTAAAGGGTTTACCTGGGGGGGGGGGTTTTAATAACACCGATCTGAGTCCGTTATCATCACACATTCTATGTTCAGCTGAGACAGACACACACACACACACAGGGAGAGAAATGGAGTCTTTTAAAACGGAGACAAAATGAGGCAACAATTATTTAAAATGTGAATCGTTACTTTGTCGCTCTTTTTAATACTGTTGTATAATATATTATTTCTGACTTCAAATGCAATTATTGCACAGTTCTCCAGCTCTGTTGCCAAGAGGAGAATAGACTGGCCCTCAGGCTCATGTATGTACAGTATATAGCATGTATTCTATTTATTATGACTATATTTTGCATTGATCTGCTGTGGTTGAGTATTCATAAAGCGTTTCCCTGCCACTGTTACGACTCCATGTTCTTCTCTTTTCCCTTTGTCCTTCTCTCAGAGTATGATCTCCTCCATTGTAAACAGCACCTACTATGCAAATGTCTCGGCAACCAAGTGCCACGAGTTTGGCCGCTGGTATAAGCACTTCAGGAAGACCAAGGGCATCATGGGTAAGACTACAGGGTGGCTTAAAGGGGTAGTTCACTTATATTGATCCTCAATGGTAATGTTAGCAAATAGTAGCTGTGGCTATTTATAAATACTCCCCTCTCATTTACATCTCTCCTCCTCCATCCCTCTCTCCACTACTCTCTTCCTCACTTCAGAGATTGACAGCTTCTCTGACCAATCCCAACCGGGCTCCACACACCCATCAACCAAACAACCATTCCCAGGCAGCACAGCCGAGCAGGTCGGCTCCTCGCCCCTCCCCTTCCCTCACGGGGGTGCCGCTCATATTTCTGGGCGTGGTTGTCTGGCCCCAAGTCTCTGCCCCCCCGGGCTGGTGACCGCCCCCCTCAGCCCCCAGCTAGTCAGCCCCCAACAGATAGTCATGGCCCAGTTCCTCAACCAGCAGTATGCAGTCAGCCATATGCTAGCCCAGCAGAGCCTGTCTGTATCTGTCTCCACCTCCCCCCAGCAGCTCCTCAACTACCCCCCTGTGTGGAGGCCTCCCCCCTCCCTGGCCCTAGCCAAGGGCCTCGACCCCCAGCCTCAGGCTGGACCACCAGGACCCGGGTCTGGGTCCCAGAGCCAAGTGTGTGGACCATCAGACATCTCATGTGAGATCTACCAGAGGGTGAGAGAGGAGCTGAAGAGAGCAGGCATCTCCCAAGCTGTGTTCGCCCGCGTGGCCTTCAACAGGACCCAGGTAGGAGACAGACAGGGAGATAGGGGTACTGGATGTATGGGACTGTGCTGTAAACTAAGGGTTAGGGATTAATTAGGGGGTGGGGTTGGTGAAGGACAGAGAAAAGGGGGGTTGGTGTTATGGTGTGTGTAAACTGTGTGCTGGTGTTATTGGATTGAGTGTGTGTGCGCGTGTGCATGACGATTAGCTCTTGGCATGGCCTTTGCCGCAGTTTCTGTTCTGAGTGTGTGTGTGAATGCGTGTGCTGTTGCATGTGTGTGCATGTGCTCTGTCTCTCTCTGTGTGCCAGCTCTTCTCTGTAGTAGGAACTCATGCCAGTGGTGAAGTAGCTGCTGGGCCAGCCAGTCACACTCCCTCAGAGAGTCTACCTCTCCCTGTCTAATCACACTCCCTCAGAGAGTCTCTACCTCTCCCTCTCCCTCTCTAATCACACTTCCCCAGAGAGTCTCTACCTCTCCCTGTCTAATCACACTCCCTCAGAGAGTCTCTACCTCTCCCTGTCTAATCACACTCCCTCAGAGAGTCTCTACCTCTCCCTGTCTAATCACACTCCCTCAGAGAGTCTCTACCTCTCCCTGTCTAATCACACTCCCTCAGAGAGTCTCTACCTCTCCCTGTCTAATCACACTCCCTCAGAGAGTCTCTACCTCTCCCTGTCTAATCACACTCCCTCAGAGAGTCTCTACCTCTCCCTGTCTAATCACACTCCCTCAGAGAGTCTCTACCTCTCCCTGTCTAATCACACTCCCTCAGAGAGTCTCTACCTCTCCCTCTCCCTCTCTAATCACACTTCCCCAGAGAGACTCTACCTCTCCCTCTCTCTCTCTAATCACACGTCCCCAGAGAGTCTCTACCTCTCCCTCTGTAATCACACGTCCCCAGAGAGTCTCTACCGCTCCCTCTCTAATCACACTTCCCCAGAGAGTCTCTACCGCTCCCTCTGTAATCACACGTCCCCAGAGAGTCTCTACCTCTCCCTCTGTAATCACACTTCCCCAGAGAGTCTCTACCTCTCCCTCTCTAATCACATTTCCCCAGAGTCTCTACCGCTCCCTCTCTAATCACACGTCCCCAGAGAGTCTCTACCGCTCCCTCTCTAATCACACTTCCCCAGAGAGTCTCTACCTCTCTAATCACACGTCCCCAGAGAGTCTCTACCTCTACCTCTCTAATCACACTTCCCCAGTCTCTACTGCTCCCTCTCTAATCACACTTCTCCAGAGTCTCTACCTCTACCTCTCTAATCACACTTCCCCAGAGAGTCTCTACCTATACCTCTATAATCACACTTCCCCAGTCTCTACTGCTCCCTCTCTAATCACACTTCTCCAGAGTCTCTACCTCTACCTCTCTAATCACACTTCCCCAGTCTCTACTGCTCCCTCTCTAATCACACTTCCCCACAGTCTCTACCTCTATAATCACACTTCCAGAGAGTCTCTACCTCTATAATCACACTTCCCCAGAGTCTCTACCTCTCCCTCTGTAATCACACGTCCCCAGAGAGTCTCTACCGCTCCCTCTGTAATCACACGTCCCCAGAGAGTCTCTACCTCTCCCTCTGTAATCACACGTCCCCAGAGAGTCTCTACCGCTCCCTCTCTAATCACACTTCCCCCAGAGAGTCTCTACCTCTCCCTCTCTAATCACACTTCCCCAGAGAGTCTCTACTGCTCCCTCTCTAATCACACTTCCCCCAGAGAGTCTCTACCGCTCCCTCTCTAATCACACTTCCCCAGAGAGTCTCTACCTCTCCCTCTCTAATCACATTTCCCCAGAGTCTCTACCGCTCCCTCTCTAATCACACGTCCCCAGAGAGTCTCTACCTCTCCCTCTCTAATCACACTTCCCCAGAGAGTCTCTACCTCTCTAATCACACGTCCCCAGAGAGTCTCTACCTCTACCTCTCTAATCACACTTCCCCAGTCTCTACTGCTCCCTCTCTAATCACACTTCTCCAGAGTCTCTACCTCTACCTCTCTAATCACACTTCCCCAGTCTCTACTGCTCCCTCTCTAATCACACTTCCCCACAGTCTCTACCTCTATAATCACACTTCCAGAGAGTCTCTACCTCTATAATCACACTTCCCCAGAGTCTCTACCTCTCCCTCTGTAATCACACGTCCCCAGAGAGTCTCTACCGCTCCCTCTGTAATCACACGTCCCCAGAGAGTCTCTACCTCTCCCTCTGTAATCACACGTCCCCAGAGAGTCTCTACCGCTCCCTCTCTAATCACACTTCCCCCAGAGAGTCTCTACCTCTCCCTCTCTAATCACACTTCCCCAGAGAGTCTCTACTGCTCCCTCTCTAATCACACTTCCCCCAGAGAGTCTCTACCGCTCCCTCTCTAATCACACTTCCCCCAGAGAGTCTCTACCTCTCCCTCTCTAATCACACTTCCCCAGAGAGTCTCTACCGCTCCCTCTCTAATCACACGTCCCCAGAGAGTCTCTACCTCTCCCTCTCTAATCACACTTCCCCAGAGAGTCTCTACCTCTACCTCTCTAATCACACTTCCCCAGAGAGTCTCTACCTCTCTAATCACACGTCCCCAGAGAGTCTCTACCTCTACCTCTCTAATCACACTTCCCCAGTCTCTACTGCTCCCTCTCTAATCACACTTCCCCAGAGTCTCTACCTCTATAATCACACTTCCCCAGAGTCTCTAATCACACTTCCCCAGAGTCTCTGCCTCTATAATCACACTTCCCAAGAGTCTCTACCTCTATAATCACACTTCCCCAGAGTCTCTACCTCTCTAATCACACTTCCCCAGAGTCTCTACCTCTGTTTCTCTCATCCCTCCAATTTATTTTCTCTCTCTCGTCTCTAGCACTTTCTCTGTCCATCTCTCTATATCTCACTTTCTCTGTCCATCTCACTTTCTCTGTCCATCTCTCTATATCTCACTTTCTCTCTATATCACACTTTCTCTGTCCATCTCTCTCTATCACTTTCTCTGTCCATCTCTCTATAAATCTCTCTATATCTCACTTTCTCTGTCCATCTCTCTATATCTCACTTTCTCTGTCCATCTCTCTATATCTCAATTTCTCTGTCCATCTCTCGTCTCTATCACTTTCTCTGTCCATCTCTCGTCTCTATCACTTTCTCTGTCCATCTCTCGTCTCTATCACTTTCTCTGTCCATCTCTCTATATCTCACTTTCTCTGTCCATCTCTCTATATCTCACTTTCTCTGTCCATCTCTCTATATCTCACTTTCTCTGTCCATCTCTCTATATCTCACTTTCTCTGTCCATCTCTCTATATCTCACTTTCTCTGTCCATCTCTCTATATCTCACGTTCTCTGTCCATCTCTCTATATTACATTTACATTTTAGTCATTTAGCAGACGCTCTTATCCAGAGCGACTTACAGTTAGTGAATACATATCTTTTTATACTGGCCCCCCGTGGGAATCGAACCCACAACCCTGGCGTTGCAAACGCCATGCTCTATCAACTGAGCTACATCCCTGCCGGCCATTCCCTCCCCTACCCTGGACGACGCTGGGCCAATTGTGCGCCGCCCATGAGTCTCCCGGTCGCGGCCGGCTGCGACAGAGCCTGGATTCGAGCCAGGATCTCTAGTGGCACAGTTAGCACTGCGATGCAGTGCCTTAGACCACTGCGCCACTCAGGAGTTTATATCTCCCTTTCTTTATATATTTCCACCCTTCCTCTGTATCCAACTTTATGATGTCTGCATGTGACAGGTCTATCCCTCATTTTTCTCATTCAATTTCAATCTTTCTCATTTTTTCCCCATTTCATACCTCTCTCTCTCCCCCCTCTCTCTCTCCCTCCCTCCCTCCCTCTGTCTATCCTGTCTGCTCCTGCCGTTAGAAGGCACTCACTCGAATGGCTTCTAGAGAGACCTAGACCACTGTTATTATTACCATCATTATCACCAGCATCATCATGGGTGTCATTATAATGATCAAAGGCTGCCATTATAGCCACCCGCCCCCGCATTTCTCCGTCGCTGTGACAACTGGGCTCTGCGGACAGGTAAAAGGGAGTGGGACAGAGGAAGGAATGTCTCACCTGGGCAAGGTGCCAAGGAGTAGAGTGGGCGGGGCTTGGCTTGGAGTGTAAAGACCCTATTGGAGTGTGAAGGCTTAATGGCTGGGGGGGGGGATCTACATTAGAGGGGTACAGTCGTAACAACTGGAGTGACATATAAAATCCCCTATTAGAGCCCCATCGTATGGAAGAGTGACTGACTGCTGTACGAGCAGGAGCAGACAGATAACTTAATAAGGGACTGATCCGTTTAATAGCAGAGCTTTAGAAGGTGTCTGGAGTTGGTAATCTGCTATGTTTACTCTGCCACTTTAAAGGAAAAAACACTGCCTGTGAGGATGTGTGCTGTCTGGGTGGGTGTGAGTCTATGTTCAGAGGATATCCTAGTCTAGATTAATGGCCCTCAGCCAGTTTTAGTATGGAACTTGCAAGTTGACATTTATTAGCTGTTTGGTCTTTAATGTTAGGGTTAGGCATTAGGGTTAGCAGTGTGGTTAAGGTTAGAGTTAAAGTTAGGGTTAGGTTTAAAATCAGATGTTATGACATTGTGGCTGTGCCAGCTAGTGACCACTCTGCAGAGCTGCCTCTAGAACAAGCTTCATGATGAAAACGCTAACCTGCACAAAACTTTCTATTAGGGTTTTGTTTGATGGTGTTAATAATTTATCTTTATCAGACATTGTCTGTAAGTGTCTCTTGGCCTGGTCAACATCACAGGGCTGCTACCCTGGAAGCGTAACTTGCCAAGTTTGAGACACTCCCATTCATTTCAATTAGGGGTCTTCAACTTTCTCTTGCCCAGAAACTCCTTGCTCTGGTCAAACGCTACTACACGCCCACGGATGTTAAGTAATTCACAATGAGTTTGGATCTGAGTACCTCCCCGGTGATTTCTAGAATGGAAATCCATTCTAGACCGTCTGATTGGGCCCAGAAACTGATGGGTTGGGCCAGAGCCATAACACATGTGGGTAAAGCAGCATTTAGAAAATTAATAATTGGCTTTGATACTCTGATTGGTTAGAGATGATCCAATCGCTGATGACTTTGGTTTGTACAGTGCCCCTCGTCACCACAAATTACTTCAATGATGGCAGTCTCAGACTGAAGTATGTAATGAACGACAGAGCTGCGGAATAATTCAGTTTGAGTCATCAGGCAAATTCATGCTCTGCTCATGCCGGCAAAAGTTACATGTCCAGTGTAGCAGCTGTTTTCACGACGCCCTGGTGTAAGGGAAATGGAAAAGGGGATACCTAGTCAGTTGTACAACTGAATGCATTCAACTGAAATGTGTCTTCCCCTCTTAGGATATGTGTATCTGAGAGTGGGTATCATAGTGATTCTATTTCTATGGTGTGTATCTGGTCTTCATGTGTCTTTCTATCTCTGTGTGTCAGGGCTTGCTGTCTGAGATCCTGCGGAAGGAGGAGGATCCTAAGAGTGCATCTCAGTCTCTACTGGTCAACCTGCGGTCCATGCAGAGTTTCCTCCAGCTACCTGAAGGCGACCGCGACCGCATTTACCAGGAGGAGAGAGAGAGGAGTCTGACCGCGTCGACCACTATCAACCATTCCCCACCACGCCCCACACAGGTCAGACAGACTGACAGGGAGAGATGGGGTGTGTGTGTGTGCATGGGTGTGTGCGTTGAAGTTATATCTTGTTCATGATAGTCTAAGATATATTCCTCTGATGTTTCAGACCAGAAAGGAAGAGGGAAACTTTGTTAAGGCTGAAGATTGGCACTCCCGGGTTTCCATAGGCATTCCTGAAGTAAGCTCTCTCTCTCAATTCAATTCAATTTCAATTTAAGGGCTTTATTGGCATGGGAAACGTGTGTTAACATTGCCAAAGCAAGTGAAGTAGATAGTAAACAAAAGTGAAATAAACAATAAATATTAACAGTAAACATTACACTCAGAAGTTTCAAAAGAATAAAGACATTTCAAATGTCATATTATGTATATATACAGTGTTGTAACAATGTGCAAATAGTTAAAGTACAAATGGGAAAATAAATAAACATAAATATGGGTTGTATTTACAATGGTGTTTGTTCTTCACTGGTTGCCCTTTTCTTGTGGCAACAGGTCACAAATCTTGCAGCTGTGATGGCACACTGTGGTTTTTCACCCAGTAGATAAGGGAGTTTATCAAAATTGGGTTTGTTTTCGAATTCTTTGTGGATCGCTGTAATCTGAGGGAAATATGTGTCTCTAATATGGTCATACATTTGGCAGGAGGTTAGGAAGTGCAGCTCAGTTTCCACCTCATTTTGTGGGCAGTGTGCACATAGCCTGTCTTCTCTTGAGAGCCAGGTCTGCCTACGGCGGCCTTTCTCAATAGCAAGGCTATGCTCACTGAGTCTGTACATAGTCAAAGCTTTCCTTAAGTTTGGGTCAGTCACAGTGGTCAAGTATTCTGCCACTGTGTACTCTCTGTTTAGGGCCAAATAGCATTCTAGTTTGCTCTGTTTTTTTGTTTGTTCTTTCCAATGTGTCAAGTAATTCTCTTTTTGTTTTCTCATGATTTGGTTGGGTCTAGTTGTGTTGTTGTTGTTGTTGTCCTGGGGCTGTGTGGGGTCTGTTTGTGTTTGTGAACAGAGCCCCAGGACAAGCTTACTTAGGGGACTCTTCTCCAAGTTCATCTCTCTGTAGGTGATGGCTTTGTTATGGAAGGTTTGGGAATCGCTTCCTTTTAAGTGGTTATAGAATTTAACGGCTCTTTTCTGGATTTTGATAATTAGCGGGTATTGGCCTAATTCTGCTCTGCATGCATTATTTGGTGTTTTACGTTGTACACGGAGGATGTTTTTGCAGAATTCTGCATGCAGAGTCTCAATTTGGTGTTTGTCCCATTTTGTGAATTCTTGGTTGGTGAGCGGACCCCAGACCTCAGAACCATAAAGGGCAATGGGTTCTATAACTGATTCAAGTATTTTTAGCCAGGATCCTAAGTCTATCTCTCCTCTCTCTCTATCTCTCTCTCTATCTACTCTCTCTCTCTCTCTCTCTCTCTCTCTCTCTTCTCTCTCTCTCTCTCTCTCTCTCTCTCTCTCTCTCACTCTCTCTCTCAATTAAATTGTAAATGCTTTATTGCCAAAGTGACAATGACAACTTCTCTGCTAATTAAACTGAAATCAGAACAGAAATATCTTTACTAATCAAATGATACAGCTGCTTTAGTAAACACATCAACGCCTCTCTCCCTTCTCTCCCATCTTTCCCCTCTCCCCTCTCTGCAGGTGAGGCTGTCTCCAGTAGCAGTAGTAAACAGAGGGGTGATGAGCGAGGGATGTGTTCTAAACAGAGGGGTGAAGAGCGAGGGATGTGTTCTAAACAGAGGGGTGAAGAGCGAGGGATGTGTTCTAAACAGAGGGGTGAAGAGCGAGGGATGTGTTCTAAACAGAGGGGTAAAGAGCGAGGGATGTGTTCTAAACATCAACAGTTCTATCTATGAGGAGATCCAACAGGAGATGAAGAGAGCCAAGGTTTCTCAGGCCATGTTCGCCAAGATGGCCGCATCCAAGAGTCAGGTACACACACAACACACACACAAACATGTGTACACACACAAACACACACAGAAAAGAGAGGGTATGGTACTCACTGACTGAGGGATGCCTATGGAAACAATGCCAATCTCCCTCTTGGATTGAAACAGAGGAAAACGTTTATTACAGACTGATATTAGCAAGTGCGTAACACACACACATTTCTGCAAGTCCCTATAATATCAGATTTCCTATGTGATGTATTAATTTATGATAACATCTTTACACAGAGCCACGTTGGGCAGTAACTGGCTGTGTAGGAAATTGTCAACTAGCAAGCTGCAGTCTATGGAGAGCTCTGATCACTGCATCACACACATAAACACGCACACATGTCACACACACACTTGAACACACACAAAATGCTTGCCAACACACAGACAAACTGGTGGTTTTATTGTGATAGTTTTCCAGGCAGAACCGTAAGCTTGTTATTGCCTTTTGTTTTGGGGATCATTTCCCTCCTCCGTAGAATGGAGGGATTTCTTTCTTTCTCTCTGTCTTTCTTTCACTCAATTCTTGGTCATCACACTTTCAGTCACCTCTATTTCTTTCTCTCCGTCTCCCCACCTCCATCTCTATCCCTCTTTTACTGTCTTCCCCCTTTTCCCATATCTCTCGCTTTCTCTCGCTCTCTCTCCCCATCTCTCTCATACTATCCTCTCAGGTAGTGTAGGTCTGTTTGGCAGGCAGCACCATGTTGGAGCTCTGTGATGTATCTTCTCACTGCATCTGCATGGCTTTGCATGCTATTGCTGGGCTGCAGCCAGGTCTGTGTGTGCCACAGTGATTGTGTAGAGGACAAGAGCTTGTCACTGCCGCTGCTTTCCCTCGCTGACTCCTCCTCTCCTCCAGCTCCTGGTAGAGAGAAGGGTTCTGCTTGATGTTTACTAGGAGTTTGAACTGTAGTTATTTTTATATAAAGTATCAATAACACTGTTGTTATCTGGTCATAAAAACAGAAGCTCTGTTTCAGTATCTTTACTAAAGATAGTATATTTTTGTATCTTGCTTGAATGGGTTCTGAGAAGGTTTGAATTGCTATTCTATGGGTTCTCTGACCTGGTTCGAATGTGTGTTCTGTGTGTGTGTTCTGCAGGGCTGGCTGTGTGAGCTGCTGCGCTGGAAGGAGGATCCGTCCCCGGAGAACCGAACCCTGTGGGAGAACCTGTGTATGATCCGACGCTTCCTGAGTCTGGCCCAGACGGAACGAGACGCCATCTATGAACAGGAGAGCAACGCTCTGCAACAACACTGTACAGAAAGACTCACACAGCTAGTCAACGACAACACACCGGTCAGTCTACTCTGTATAGCCTACATACACATGTACACGCATGGAAGCACACACACACACACAACACAAACACAATCCTACAGTGTAAATGTACATGCATTACACATGCACAGTTGAAGTCGGAAGTTTACATACACCTTAGCCAAATACATTTAAACTCAGTTTTTCACAATTCCTGACATTTAATCCTAGTAAAAATTCCTTGTCTTAGGTCAGTTAGGATCACCACTTTATTTTAAGAATGTGACATTTCAAAATAATAGTAGAGAGAATTATTTATTTCAGCTTTTATTTCTTTCATCACATTCCCGGTGGGTCAGAAGTTTACATACACTCAATTAGTAAATGGTAGCATTGCCATTAAATTGTTTAACTTGGGTCAAACGTTTCGGGTAGCCTTCCACAAGCTTCCCACAATAAGTTGGGTGAATTTTGGCCCATTCCTCCTGACAGAGCTGGTGTAACTGAGTCAGGTTTGTAGGTCTCCTTGCTCACACATACTTTTTCAGTTCTGCCCACACATTTTCTATAGGATTGAGGTCAGGGCTTTGTGATGGCCATTCCAATACCTTGACTTTGTTGTCCTTAAGCCATTTTGCCACAACTTTGGAAGTATGCTTGGGGTCATTGTCGATTTGGAAGACCCATTTGCGACCAAGCTTTAACTTCCTGACTGATGTCTTGAGATGTTGCTTCAATATATCCACATAATTTTCCTTCCTCATGATGCCATCTATTTTGTGCAACCTGTCCCTCCTGCAGCAAAGCACCCCCACAGCATGATGCTGCCACCCCCGTGCTTCACGGTTGGGATGGTGTTCTTCGGCTTGCAAGCGACCCCCTTTTTCCTCCAAACATAACGATGGTCATTAAGGCCAAACAGTTCTATTTTTGTTTCATCAGACCAGAGGACATTTCTCCAAAAAGTACGATCTTTGTCCCCATGTGCAGTTGCAAACCGTAGTATGGCTTTTTTATGGAGGTTTTGGAGCAGTGGCTTCTTCCTTGCTGAGTGGCCTTTCAGGTTATGTCGATATAGGACTTGTTTTACTGTGGATATAGATACTTTTGTACCTGTTTCCTCCAGCATCTTCACAAAGTCCTTTGCTGTTGTTCTAGGATTGATTTACACTTTTCGCACCAAAGTACGTTCATCTCTAGGAGACAGAACACTCCTCCTTCCTGAGCGGTATGACGGCTGCGTGGTCCCATGGTGTTTATACTTGCATACTATTGTTTGTACAGATGAACGTGGTACCTTCAGGCGTTTGGAAATTGCTCCCAAGGATGAACCAGACATGTGGAGGTCAACTATTTTCTTTCATTTGATTTTCCCATGATGTCAAGCAAAGAGGCACTGAGTTTGAAGGTAGGTCTTGAAATACATCCACAGGGACTCCTCCAATTGACTCAAATGATGTCAGTTAGCCTATCAGAAGCTTCTAAAGCCATGACATCATTTTCTGGAATTTTCCAAGCTGTTTAAAGGCACAGTCAACTTAGTGTTTGTAAACTTCTGACACACTGGAATTGTGATACAGTGAATTATAAGTGAAATAATCTGTCTGTAAACAATTGTTGGGAACATTACATGTGTCATGCACAAAGTAGATGTCCTAACCGACTTGCCAAAACTATAGTTTGTTAACAAGAAATTTGTGGAGTGGTTGAAAAACAAGTTTTAATGACTCAAACCTAAGTGTATGTAAACTTCCGACTTCAACTGTACACACTCAAATGCAGAGTTGTGTAGCTGCTTGACAATAGTGTTCATACCTCTAGTTTGGTGCTTGACCCTCTCCTCCTATAACCCGTCCTATTATCAGCTCCCATTGGTTTGTTTATAACTTGACATCCATCTGTCTCCACCAGCTCGAACGCCAATCCCCGTTGCAACAACAACATCATCAACGAACCCTGACCCCTCTGTGCCAGCAGCCCTTGCAGCCCCAGGCGGAGCCTCGCCTGCCGCCACGACAACCATCCACAGCATCACCGGCCGAGACTGAGGGGGGTAGGGGGCAACTGAGGACCTGGTGGGGGAGTAGTCAGGGTGATGGCAGGGGAGAGGACATTACTGGCAGGGGCAGTAGGGGTTGGGGCGAGGGTAGGGGTTGGGGCGAGGTCAGGAGTAGGGGTGTGTGTAGCAATGACAAGGAAGGGGGCGAGGGAGGGTGGTCGGGGGGCAGACAGACTAACAGGGAGGGTGATGGTGCGCGTGATGGTGAGGGGGGCGAGGGGTTTTGGGTGTCCCGTGAGGCCCAGGGGATCCTGCAGAGCTTCATCCAAGACGTGGGTCTGAACCCAGACGAGGAGGCTGTCCACACCCTGTCAGCCCAGCTGGGCCTGCCCAAACACACCATCCTCAGCTTCTTCCACAGCCAGCACCACAGCTACACTCACCAGAACCATAGACAGGACTACAGTGAGATCCGCCACAACCACAACCAACATCCGAGCCAGAACCAGAACCAAAACCACAACTACAGGGAGAATCACAACCAACACCACCAGGACCAGCTCTTCTGTAATGGAGCAGGCCCAACCCAGCCTGAGAGAACTACAGGGGAGGAGGGGGAGGGAGGGACCGTAGATCCCGCTGGACAGATGGGGGGAGAGGAAGAGGATATAGAGGGGGAAGAGGAAACAGAGTGGAAGGGGGAGGAGGACACAATTTTAAAAGAGTTGGATGTGAGCAGTCAGACTAACGCCATCGCCACCCTAGAGGAGGAGCAACATGATTCTAACCAATCTGAGACTGCCCAACCACATGACTCTGATGAATAACATGACTCCACCCACTAGTTGTCCCCTCTATCCCAATGAGAAGGCATCAATTTGATAGACTCATTTATCTCTGCAGAAAATAACATTCCCCTTTTCTAAAGAACTCTAGTAATGAATGATGTGGTATTATAGGTGTTTCCCTTATTTGTAATGAAACATTTAAATAAAAGACTGACTGTGAAAATATATGAAATTATGTAGTTATACATGTATGCAAAGTTATTTTAAAGGCCCAGTGCAGTCAAAAACTAGACTTTCCTGTGGTTTGGATATTTTCCACATTGAGGTTGGAATAATACTGTGAAATTGTGAAAATTATGATAATGCCCTTTTAGTGTAAGAGCTGTTTGTAAAGACAGCCTTAAATTTGAGCCTGTTTTGATGGGATGGGGTTTTGGCCTGTCTGGTGACATCACCAGGCGCTAAATAAGTTCCAAAACTCTGCCAATAACAGCTCATTTTCAGTTTCCCCCTCCTCACTCAGACCACTCCCAGACAGTCCTAGCTAAATTATTGCTTGAGGAATTGCTCCTCGCTAAGAAGCTATTTTTGTTTCTTTTTGACCATTTTAACTAAAAGCAATCACAGTAAGGTACTTAATTGTTAACCAGGAATTCTTTGATATTGAGATAAAAACAGCTGCATTGGACCTTTAAGTGTTGAGGATCCGATTTTAAAGACATTATGCCAACAAATGCCTTGTAGTATGTGGCACTACCCATCTGTTTCTATGTCTAGATTATCCTCTCTGGAATTAGAGGACATCGAAATGTGAATATTGATATTGATCCACTCGCTCAGCTGTATTATAGACACATGCTATATAGTGTTTGTTCTGGTTTCTTTCTCTTTTACAAAACTCCAACAACAACTATGCTTTCTTACATCGTTCTGTCATAATGTCCACTTGTCTCTTTGACTGACAGTAAAATGCAAAAGTATCTTAAAAGTCTTCGGTGGTCAACATAGTTGAGGGATGTCACTCAAATGTTTTATGCACATTATTTCACTCTAGCAAATGTAGTGTAGGTCAATTGCCTAATTGTAGAAGAAAAGGCTAAATATGCAAAGGGTGTGTGTGTGTGTGTGTGTGTGTGTGTGTGTGTGTGTGTGTGTGTGTCCTGCCTCTTTTCCTTTATCTACCATCTTTGAATCTGTTTGTGTTGAAAATACAATGTACTATTTGTTTTAAGACTTCATTCCATTGATTCATGAGTTATATTTGAAGTTGTCGTTTTAAACAGAAATGCATTGGATGCAGAATTACATTTATGTCTTACTTAAAGCTGTGATTTACTATTTGTTTCATCACACATTAAACACTTATAAAATGGAGCTGCTGTTGATTCGTTTTTCTGTGGTATCGTACAAATCTTCTGTCTCCATGCTGAACCACAATGTTCCTAATCAGTCAAGTTTTCTTTTCCCAGACAGACTAGGATAGGTAGATAGACATCTTGTTTCTGACATGTTCACACCTGCTCAGTTATTTTTCCATTCAAAATAAATTAACTACTGTAAAAAGTTGTTTTGCTTAGAAGTCAATCTTGTCATTATGCAACGAATGTAACATGGGGAAATGTTTTGTTGGCTATCGCTCTTATGTTGTATAGGTAAATAACATTTCACACATTAGTGACCTGTTAGCTCCAAGGTCGTGGGGGTCAGTGTTAAGGGCTTGAATGGTAGCTACAGCTTACTGTAATTACAAGCAAAAGTTTTCCACTACCATGGAATCATAAAACTTCTTATCAGACATGATTGGAGGTGTGTGTGTGTGTGCTCACGTGCACATACAGTACTGTCACGCACACTTACACAAACACTCACGCATAAACACACACCCACATGGTCACATGCACAGTTATTTATCAGACACGTTTTACTATTGAAAACAAATGAACATTTATTGTATCCAAATTAAGACTGACCTATGCCCATAAATATACACTTTGATCTTAGTTTTATAACACATCAGAAAATCAATTGATAGATGGGTCATTCCACGAAATGAGTACCTTTTCCATCCACTTTGATATTTTAAGTAGAAATTGGGTATTGAATTTTAAAAGGCTGTTATATTCAATGAAGTGCCCTTTAATATAGACCACATGGAGAATTCAATAAATCAGATTTTTTTATATGAATAAAGACTTGCGAAAGTGCCAACATTCTGCATTTTGACATGTCCCTCCGTGCACCCTCTGTGACTTCCAGGAAGATTTTAACTCACTTAACCACAAAAGTTTTCACAAAGTAATTTCTGAAGATTATTATTTATTTTATGTGATTAGCGGTTCATTTGAAGGTAAAAACATAACAAAAACACCTGTCCCTCATTTTAAGGTCAACCCTGGTACGTGAACGGAACTCTAATATGGTGAAACTATTCCTTTTTAAATAATGTTTTTTTTTTCAAAAGAAACATGAACATCTAATAGTGAAGTCACAGTGTAAAAGCAGGTGAGCTGGTTTTACTATTTTTAGCTATTGTATGGTGTTTTGTGATGAAAAACTGAGTGGGTCGAGCACAACATGTCAGCCCTGTCACCCATAGATAGACAGGCTAGGAATGTTTGAACTGTTGAATCATTTGGGTGAAGCTTGTATTCAATTGCCCCTCCCTGTTGCACACAGCTTCCATTCCCCCTGTCACAAGGGGATTTATGGCTGATTTCAGATGAAATCGTCAACCCTGTTACAGTCAACCCTGTTACTTTATTTGTGACTTAATAGGCACTTACTATAGTAATTTTGTTATTTAAGATGGGAAAATTTGTTTTTTATTAGGTTGAACATGTGCTCTTTATAACGGAATGTCAAAAGTATTTTTCACCAAGTTACACATATCAAAAGGCACCGAATTGGTAGAACGACCCAGAGTTATTTATCAGCCACGTTTTACTATTGAAAACAAATAAAGATTTATTGTATCCAAATGAAGACCAACCTATGCCCATAAACATACATGTTGGCATTAGTTTTATAACTGTTTTATAACACATACATTACCACATCAGTACCTGCTGCTAATATGTGGTTTAGAGCAACATGTATAAAAGGTAGTGGGACTGAGGAGTAGAAACAGAAGACAGACTTAGAGAGATAAACTCTGGCTCTGGCTCTAGTGTTTCTGTGCCTGCTTGGAGCACAGGGTCTCACCAATGATGCCATGGAGAAACAGGTCCTCACTGGAGAATGACAGATAGAGAGAGAGAGGGAGTGGGGTAAGAGAGAGGGAGAGATGGTGGGAGAGAGAGATTGGGTCGGAGAGAGAGAGAGACGGTGGGAGAGAGGGAGTGGGTGCCAGAGGATGAAGGGATGAATACCATTCAGGCTGTGGGGCAGGGGGTAGAGGAGGTGTCTGGGTCCGTCACTGGAGGCCAGGCTGACAGCTGCTGAGGGTCTCTTAGAAGAGGAGAGAGTCCTGGTGTTTGAGCTGAGAGCTACACTGGAGAAACAGAGCACCATGCTGCAGAGGCTGAGCGCACAGAGAAGAGGTACACTATTTTACCATACCAGTGATGTTCTATACTGTGGTTGTTGTTTTGTAACAGAGGAGGCTTTCATGAGGCTTGATTTCTCACAGCATGACAATACGTTACTGGAAATTTAACTTGATATAATTAAACAGAATACTATTATGTTCTTCATAGGCCAAGCAAAAGTGGCATTCTCCGCTTCACTGGGAAGTTTGGATCATTTTGGACCTGTCAGTATTGATGTCACATTGGTCTATAATGATGTCATCACTAATTATGGCAGCACATACAGCCCTGTTACAGGTCAGGCATTCATTGTTGTGAGGAAGGAAAGAGAACGAGGAAGGAGCAATAAGGTGTGTGTGTGTGTGTACGTGTGTGTGTGTGTGCACATGTGTGTGTGTGTGTTTGTGTGTGTGTCTGCGTGTGTGTGTGTGTGTCTGTGTGTGTGTGTGTGTGTACGTGGTGGTTGGTTGAGGGGGTAGTGTAAAAGGTGTTTTGTGGTGCTGTGTAAGTGTGGATGTGTGTGTTGTGTGTGTGTAAGTGTGTGTGTTGTGAGGTGGTATGGGTGTGTGTGTGTGTGTTGTGTCTGTGTGTGTGTGTAAGGTGTGTGTGTGTTTTTTTATGTGTATGTGTGCGTGTGTGTGGGTCTGTGTGTGTGCGTGTGTATGTGTGTGTGTGGGTGTTGTTGTGTGTGTAGGAGTGTGTAGTGGATTGTGTTGTGTCGTGTGTTGCTCTGAGTGTGTGTGTGGGTTGTGTCTGTGGGTGTGGGTGTGGTGTGTGTCAGTGGTGTGTGTGTGTGTGTGGGTGTGTAATGTGTGGGTGTGTGTGAGTGTGTGTGTGGTGTGTAGTGTGTGTGTGTGTGTGAGTGTGGTGTGGTGTGGTGTGTACAGTGGTGTGTGTGTGGTACGTGTGTGTGTGTGTGTGGTGTGTAGTGTGTGTGGTGTGTCTGTGTGGGTGTGTGTGTGTGTGGGTGTGGTGTGTGTGTGTGGGTGTGTGTGTTTGTGTGTGTGGTGTGCGTGTGGTGTGTGTGTATGTGTGGTGTGTGTGTGTGTGTGTGTGTGTGTGTGTGGTGTGTGTGTGTGTATGTGTGTGTGTGTGGTTGTGGTGTGTGTGTGTGTTTGTGTGTGTGTGGTGTACGGTGGTGTGTGTGTGTACGTGTGGTGTGTGTGTACGTTGGGTGTGTGTTGTTTACTGTTGTGTGTGGTGTGTGTAATGTGTGTGTGTAGTGTGGTGTGTGTGTGGGTGTGTGTACGGTGGGTGTGTCTGTGTGTGTGTGTGTGTACGTGTGTGTGTGTGTACGTGTGTGTGTGGTGCGTGTGTACATGTGTGTTGTGTACGTGTGTTGTGTACGTGTGTGTGTGTGTACATGTGTGTGTGTCTGTGGTGGTGTGTTGTGTCACGTGTGTGTGTGTATGTGTGTGTGTACGTGTGTGTGTGTGTGTACGTGTGTGTGTGTGTACGCGTGTGTGTGTACGTGTGTGTGTACGTGTGTGTGTGTGTGTGTACGTGTGTGTATGTATACGTGTGTGTGTACGTGTGTGTGTACGTGTGTGTGTGTGTGTTCGTGTGTGTGTGTGTGTTTGTGTGTACGTGTGTGTGTACATGTGTGTGTGTGTGCACGTGTGTGTATGTGTGCATGTATACTATACATGCACATGCGTTCGTGCGTGTGTGTGCGAGCATGCGTGTGTTTGTGTTGATGCATCTGAAGTACGTTAATCTACTGTATGGCGGGAAGCTGTCTCCGCACCACGTGCTCTCACCACTGGTGTCCCCCAGGGCTCAGTTCTAGCCCCTCTCCTATTCTCGCTATACACCAAGTCACTTGGCTCTGTCATATCCTCACATGGCCTCTCCTATCATTGCTACGCAGACGACCCACAACTAATCTTCTCCTTTCCCCCTTCTGATAACCAGGTGGCGAATCGCATCTCTGCATGTCTGGCAGACATATCAGTATGGATGACGGATCACCACCTCAAGCTGAACCTTGGCAAGACGGAGCTGCTCTTCCTCCCGGGGAAGGACTGCCCGTTCCATGATCTCGCCATCACGGTTGACAACTCCGTTGTGTCCTCCTCCCAGAGTGCGAAGAGCCTTGGCGTGACCCTGGACAACACACTGTCGTTCTCCGCTAGGTTCATGCTCTACAACATTCGGAGAGTACGACCCTGCCTTACACAGGAAGCAGCACAGGTCCTAATCCAGGCACTTGTCATCTCCCGTCTGGATTACTGCAACTCGCTGTTGGCTGGGCTCCCTGCCTGTGCCATTAAACCCCTACAACTCATCCAGAATGCCGCAGCCCGTCTGGTGTTCAACCTTCCCAAGTTCTCTCACGTCACCCCGCTCCTCCGCACACTACACTGGCTTCCAGTTGAAGCTCGCATTTGCTACAAGACCATGGTGCTTGCCTACGGAGCTGTGAGGGGAACGGCACCTCCGTACCTTCAAGCTCTGATCAGTCCCTACACCCAAACGAAGGCATTGCGTTCATCCACCTCTGGCCTGCTGGCTCCCCTACCTCTGCTGAAGCACAGTTCCCGCTCAGCCCAGTCAAAACTGTTCGCTGCTCTGGCACCACAATGGTGGAACAAGCTCCCTCACGACGCCAGGACAGCGGAGTCACTCACCACCTTCCAGAGACATTTGAAACCCCACCTCTTTAAGGAACACCTGGGATAGGATAAAGTAATCCTTCTAACCCCCCCCCTTACCCCACCCCACCCCACCACCCCCCAAAAATAAAATATAATAATAATAATAATAATTGTAAAGTGGTTATCCCACTGGCTATAAGGTGAATGCACCAATTTGTAAGTCGCTCTAGATAAGAGCGTCTGCTAAATGACGTAAATGTAAATGTAAATGAGTATGCTTATTCACTTTCTACAGCCATGCAGGGGGTGGACGGAGAATGGTGTGTGCCTTGTTCAGAAATGGACAAAGAGTGGTCACCGCCATTGGATTATTCAAGTATTGTGGACATTGCTGACACAGTGGCAAATGGAGCTACTCTTCAGCTGAACAGGGGAGATCAGGTGCGTCTTGCGGCCAACACACACATATTTGACGATTCACAACGCAAAAGTACATTTAGTGGCTTCCTGTTTTTCACTGTGTGAGTCCCTTATGATTCAAGATAATTTGGTCACTGTAATGTCACCTTTATGAAAGTGTCTGTATTTAAATTTTATTTTGTATGCATGTCATTTGTATGTGTGTTGTACTGTATGTACAGTTGAAGTCGGAAGTTCACATACACCTTAGCCAAATACATTTAAACTCAGTGTCACGGATTCAGCCGAGGCTGCCCCTCCTCCTTGCTCGGGCAGGCTTCGGCGTTCGTCGTCACCGGAGTACTAGCTGCTACCGATCCATGTATCTATGTTCGACTTGTTTTGTCTTAATTGGTCACACCTGTCTCCCATTATGTAGTTATGTCTTCCCTATTTAACCCTCTGTCTCACACTGTGTGTTGTGCGTGTTTGTTCATGTTTTGGTTGTCGTTAGTGTGCGGGTTTGTTCCCTCCCTGCGTGGAGGTTGTTGTTCATTATTTTACCTACGATTAAAGTTCGCCTTTTGATTAGCTCTGTGTCCTGCGCCTGACTTCGCCTACCGCATTACACTGACGCCTTGACAGAAACACGCACCATCTACATGGAGTCAGCAGGTACAGCTATGCCAGCCGGATCGATGGAGGAACGCGTCCAACAACAAGCGGCCATGATCCAGGCTCTCGGCACCACAATGGAACGAGTAGTGAATACTATGGAGGGATGGGAGAGAGGAGGTATTACACCACCACCTACACCGATGTCCATCGCTTCACCCTCTGGGTCCAGTGGGATTCGGCTCTCGCTCCCGAGGGCTTATGACAGTACAGCTGCCGGGTGTCAGGGTTTTCTGCTCCAGGTAGAGCTCTACCTGGCAACCATTCACCCGGCTCCCTCGGGATACGAGAGCGTGTCCGCCCTCATCTCCTGTCTGTCCGGTAAAGCACTGGAGTGGGCCAACGCCGAGTGGGGGGGAATAGACGCCGCAACTGTAAGCTATGCAGAGTTTACCCGCCGCTTTAGGGCGGTATTCAATCATCCACCAGAGGGGAGAGCGGCGGGTGAGCGTCTATTCCACCTCAGACAGGGGAAGAGGAGCGTGAGGGAATTTGCACTGGTCTTTCGGACTCTGGCTGCCAGCGCAGGATGGAATGAGAGGCCCCTCATCGACCACTACCGTTGCAGCTTAAGGGAGGACGTTCGTCGGGAATTGGCCTGCAGGGACACCAACCTAAATCTGGACCAACTGGTGGATATGTCAATTCAACTGGATAACCTGTTGGCCATCCGCGGAAGTCCGGATCAGGGGCCGTCCATTCCATCCCCCAGCACCTCCGACCCTACCCCTACGGAGCTCGGAGGTGCTGCTATGAGGGAGACGGGTAGAGGGGCCGTCCCCTGCACCAACTGTGGCCGCAGAGGACACACTGCTGGTCGGTGCTGGGGAGGGCCTTCAAGGAGTCGGGGCAGTAGGCAGCGCACTGGTGAACCGTTTCAGTTGAGTAGGCACCCAACTCACCCAGAGCTCTCTGTTGCGCATATGTGTATTAATGTTGTATTTCCCGAGTTTTCTTCTCATTCCCAGCATAAGGTGCTAGTAGATTCAGGCGCAGCTGGGAACTTTATTGATCGTCAGTTTACCCGTAGGTTAGGGATTCCTATTGTGCCAGTCGATGTGCCCTTCCCTATACATGCCCTAGATAGTCGCCCTTTAGGGTCAGGTCTGATTAGGGAGGTCACAGCGCCACTCTGGATGAAGACGCAGGAGGGGCATGAGGAAATAATTAGTCTATATCTGATTGATTCTGCTGCGTTCCAGTGGTGTTGGGGCTTCCCTGGTTAACTTCTCATGAACCCACTATTTCATGGCAACAGAGGGCTCTCAAGGGATGGTCAAGTCAGTGCTTGTGGAGGTGTGGAGGTGTTTCCGTAGGGGCAACTACGGTGGAAAGTCCAAACCAGGTTCCCACCATGCACATTCCACCTGAATATGCCGATTTGGCTCTCGCCTTCTGTAAAAAGAAGGCGACTCAATTACCACCCCATCGACAGGGGGATTGTGCGATAAACCTCCAGGTAGGCGCTGCGCTTCCCCGGAGTCACATGTATCCTCTGTCACAGGAAGAGACGGCGGCTATGGAGACATATGTCACCGAATCTCTGAGACAAGGATACATTCGGCCGTCCATTTCCCCTGTGTCATCGAGTTTCTTTTTTGTGAAGAAGAAGGATGGTGGCTTACGCCCATGCATTGACTACCGTGGTCTAAATCAGATCACTGTAAAATACAGCTATCCATTACCTCAGATTGCGAGTATGACGGAGTCATTGCACGGGGCACGCTTCTTCACGAAATTGGATCTCAGGAGCGCGTACAACCTGGTGCGTATCCGGGAGGGAGATGAGTGGAAGACGGCATTTAGTACCACCTCGGGGCACTATGAGTACCTCGTCATGCCATACGGTTTGATGAATGCTCCTTCAGTCTTCCAATCTTTTGTTGATGAGATTTTCAGGGACCTGCATGGACAGGGTGTAGTGGTGTATATTGATGACATTCTCATATACTCCGCTACACGGGCCGAGCATGTGTCCCTGGTGTGTCGGGTGCTTGGTAGACTGTTGGAGCATGACCTGTATGTGAAGGCGGAGAAATGTCTGTTCTTCCAAGAGTCCATCTCCTTCGTAGGACACCGCCTGTCCGCGTCAGGTGTGGAGATGGAGATTGACCGCATTTCGGCTGTGCTTAATTTGCCGACTCCAACCACGGTGAAGGAGGTGCAGCGATTCTTGGGTTTTGCCAATTACTACCGGAGGTTTATCCGGGGCTTTGGTCAGGTAGCGGCTCCCATTACCTCCTTGCTAAAGGGAGGACCGGTGCGTCTACAGTGGTCAGCTGAGGCGGACAGGGCTTTTGGGCATCTGAAGGACCTGTTTACTTCGGCTCCGGTGCTGGCTCATCCGGATCCTTCCTTGGCATTCGAGGTTGAGGTGGATGCGTCCGAGGCTGGGATTTGGAGGTGTACTGTCTCAGCGCTCGGGTACGCCACCAAAACTCCGCCCCTGTGCTTTCTTTTCTAAGAAGCTCAGTCCGGCGGAGCGCAATTATGATGTGGGGGACCGGGAGCTGTTAGCTGTGGTTCAAGCTCTGAAAGTGTGGAGGCATTGGCTTGAGGGGGCTAAACACCCTTTTCTCATTTTGACTGACCATCGTAATCTGGAGTACATCCGGGCGGCGAGGAGGCTGAACCCTCGTCAGGCAAGGTGGGCCATGTTCTTCACTCGTTTTGTGTTTACTCTCACTTACAGACCAGGTTCCCAGAACGCTAAGGCAGACGCCCTGTCCCGACTGTATGACACAGAGGAGAGGTCCATTGAGCCCACTCCCATACTCCCGGCGTCGTGTCTGGTGGCACCGGTGGTGTGGGAGGTTGACGCGGACATCGAGCGGGCGTTACGTACCAAGCCCACTCCCCCCCAGTGTCCAGAGGGTCGGATGTACGTGCCGCTCGAGGTTCGTGATCGATTGATCTATTGGGCTCACACGTCACCCTCCTCTGGTCATCCTGGCATCGGTCGGACAGTGCACTGTCTTAGTGGGAAGTACTGGTGGCCCACTTTAGCCAAGGACGTGAGAGTTTATGTTTCCTCCTGCTTGGTGTGCGCCCAGTGTAAGGCACCTAGACACCTGCCCAGAGGGAAATTACAACCCCTACCCGTTCCACAACGGCCGTGGTCCCACCTATCGGTGGATTTTGTGACGGACCTTCCCCCCTCACAAGGGAACACCACGATCCTGGTCGTTGTGGATCGGTTTTTGAAGTCCTGCTGTCTCATTCCTATGCCAGGTCTCCCTACAGCCCTACAAACTGCTGAGGCCCTGTTTACACATGTCTTCCGGCACTACGGGGTACCTGAGGATATTGTATCGGATCGGGGTCCCCAGTTCACCTCAAGGGTCTGGAGGGCGTTCATGGAACGTCTGGGGGTCTCGATTAGCCTTACCTCAGGTTTTCACCCCGAGAGTAATGGGCAGGTGGAGAGAGTTAACCAGGATGTGGGTAGGTTTCTGAGGTCCTATTGCCAGGACCAGCAGGGGGAGTGGTCAGGTTATATCCCCTGGGCAGAGATAGCCCAAAACTCACTCCGCCACTCCTCTACTAACCTTTCCAGTGTGTGTTCGGTTATCAGCCGGTCCTGGCACCTTGGCATCAGAGCCAGATCGAGGCTCCTGTGGTGGATGAGTGGTTTCGGCGCTCGGAAGAGACCTGGAACGCTGCTCATGTACACCTGCAGCGGGCAATCAGGCGACAAAAGGCGAGCGCCGATCGCCACCGCAGTGAGGCCCCGGTGTATGCACCGGGGGACCGGGTCTGGCTCTTGACCCGAAACCTGCCCTGCCGGAAACTGGGTCGGCGGTTTGTGGGGCCATTTAAAGTCCTGAGGAGATTGAACGAGGTTTGTTATAGGTTACAACTTCCTATTAATTACCGTATTAACCCCTCGTTACATGTCTCTCCTCAGGCCGGTAGTAGCTGGTCCACTCCAGGAGTCTGAGGTACGGGAGGTTCCTCCGCCCCCACTGGACATCGAGCTGTCACGGATTCAGCCGAGGCTGCCCCTCCTCCTTGCTCGGGCAGGCTTCGGCGTTCGACGTCACCGGAGAACTAGCTGCTACCGATCCATGTATCTATGTTCGACTTGTTTTGTCTTAATTGGTCACACCTGTTTCCCATTATGTAGTTATGTCTTCCCTATTTAACCCTCTGTCTCACACTGTGTGTTGTGCGTGTTTGTTCATGTTTTGGTTGTCGTTAGTGTGCGGGTTTGTTCCCTCCCTGCGTGGAGGTTGTTGTTCATTCTTTTACCTACGAGTAAAGTACGCCTTTTGATTAGCTCTGTGTCCTGCACCTGACTTCGCCTACCACATTACACTGATGCCTTGACACTCAGTTTTTCACAATTCCTGACATTTAATCCTAGTAAGAATTCCCTGTCTTAAGTCAGTTAGGATCACCACTTTATTTTAAGAATGTGAAATGTCAAAATAATAGTAGAGAGAATG